AGGTATCAAAGAAAAGCACTCAAATTGAGGGAAATAATCCAGTTATGTGCTTTTTATAAAAATAGCACTTTTGGGACCAGGGTTTATCTCAGTGGTTTAAGTGCCTGCCTGGCAAGCACAACGTTGTGAGTTTGATCTCCAGTACAAAAAAAATAGCACTTTTGGAAACAAAGCCATGACAGAATTCATATTAAGAAAAGTTAAAAGAAATCAAATATATAGAGGTTAATATTCAGCAAAATAGAAACAGCAGATAAACAAAAAAAGGTAGGGTAAGAGCATAAATAAAACTAACTTTCTGGTCCAGGATCCAAAACCATATCTGATGTGATACTTCAAATCCAAAAAATAAAGTTATAATTCCTCGCTTGTATTCGCATAAAGAGTTCTATGTCCTTTGAATGAAATTAAAAGCAGGAATAAAATTTAAAACATCTAAACTCTAGAACTGTTATACCATATCTGGTACCTACGTGAGACTCTGCAAAATGAATGCCGAAACAGAATCACAAGACGTGGGGAGAGACCCCGGCACCTTAAAGGCTTCTATCAGCCTGTCAAGTTTAATCTGCTTCGACCTACTGCACCCAATCAACACAAGACCTTTGGAAATGACTGTAAATTTTAATCATCTGTGTGATTGTGGTTGAAGCTGTCTAATAGCTACCAAGAAGAAGGAGAGAAAAAATTAAGTGAAAGTTTTTGTATTGTACAATGGAGTACTTCAAGGGAAGAGAAAGAAAACCACATGCACAGTTTGATGAGGGGGGAATCTACAAAAATTTGAAATGTGGAACTTAGGCCATCGTTCCAAAAATTACCATAACTTGAATTAGTAAACAGTCCATCGTAAACAGCCCACTTCTCCAGAAACATCTTATTTTTTGCTATCAGTCAGCTTTTATTTTCTTCAATATTCCATATAGTCAGCAGCTTCCTTCTCTTACTACGTACTTTTGATTTTCTTTTGATTTTTTTTAAAGAACAAAGTCTTCATGATTTCTTTCCTGTCAGGGAACTTTGCCTGAGTTTAACATGCCGTATAATTTAAGATGATTCATCTCTTACAAACACAATGTACTTCCTATATTTAACTTGGAACTTATGTAAACTTGCCTGGCCCTATTTATTTGCCAGATCCATTGTTTCACATGCAATTTACACATAAAATGCAAATTTCTGCATCGCCCGCATTCTCAACAAATATTACTGCATCTACAAAGCTTTTTAAACCTTTAAGGGAAGACAGATCCCTTTTAGATTGATCTGCCAAATTACTTGATACCACTTTATGATCCTCAAAAATATCATGACTAATGTCAGTTTCATGAGGTTATTGTCACTGTGAAAGAAAGCTTTCTCACTGCCTGATTACTGATGTTAAACAACCCCAAGTCAGTGCCATTCGCACACTGCAGAAGGAGAGAACAAGGACCCACCAAGAAGCAGGCCCTCCCTGTGAACCAGTGCCATGTGCTGGCCACCACCAGCAAGGGGACAGCCAGACCCCAATCTCTTCTGGCATGCAGGCTAGCAAACAGGAGAGCTAACCCCCTCTCCGCCCAGCTGTAAGTGACCAGTTGATCCAGAAAAGCACAGGCTGCGATGATAGTTATTGAGATGAAATGCAATTTGATGCTTGTGGTGTTTTGGTGTTCCACTGACCTTGCAGGTCTAGGCTAATGGTCTGATCCTCAGAGGATGGTGATACACAGTGTGGCATTTGGGGGAATCTCCTTCTGAGGGTGATAGTCATTGTTAATTCCCTGTTGTGTTGTTTTGAAGTTCTGTATCATTTTCAGTGTTTTGTTGGGTTGGGCCTTGTTCTGTTTTGTTTTGTTTTGTTTTGTTGTATCAGATGGTAAGAGCAGCTATTTCAAAGAACAGCAAGATGATTATGGCAGCCATTTTGAATTTATTATTATCTTGTTTTAAAGTCCTTCATTGTATTCATTGTTTTATTTTTACTGGTTCTGTTTTGTTCTGCTCTGTTTGATTTTCACTATATCTGGGAGTATCTGCAGCTATTTTGAGGATAGCAAGGGCATTATGGTAACCATTGTTGATTTCATATTGTTTTGAACTCCTATGTCACTTACGCTGTTTTTTATTTTTTATTTAGATCTTGTAACCTAAATAACTACTTCCAAACTGGATTGTTTATTGGTTTTATTCTGTTTTGTCACAGACTTTACAATAAATAAAATAGGAAAAATAAAACATGAAAGAATTATTTTCTGAGGTCTATAAAAGCTTAAAAGATTGAATTTTCATTGTTCTATATAGAAAACCAAATTATTTTCAGAATCAACAAGACTAAGCTAAATTTACATAGTTCCCAAATTACATGAGTTCCAAGATTTGAGTTTTACCTTGGATAGCTGTAATCCCCTTCCCAGGAGCTATAAAAGGATATAATAACCAGAAGGAAAGAAATGGTACAGGATTTATAATTACAAACCATGAATATGTAAACTGCACTTTATTAGATTTAAATATCAGAAATCACAAATGGAGGAAGTCTCAGAAAAAGGCCCTCATGGACTAGAACCAAGTCTCTTTGAACCCTAGAAATTATGACTCCTCTGGTCCTTTAGTGAAGGGAAATTGAGTGTTAATGTCAGAAGCCAATGACATTAACATTGTAAGTAATGCTCAGCAACTTTGTAACATTCTTTAACAAATCAAATATATATCCTAAGTGTACAATGTGCTTCAGTGGGATGAAGAGAAGACAGCAGACCAGAGCTAACCATGAAACAGACCTAGAGGTGAAGCCTTTTAGGAGAAAAAATCACAATGATGTCACTACCCTACACAGGTGACACTGGTGTCCTTTCCCAGCATCTTCAAGGTACCATATTAGTGCTGCAAAGCACAGCATCCTTGGTGTAAAAACAACATCTCCTATCCTTTCTCAAAGAGCCTCCTGATTAAACTATGAAAAACTTCTGCCACAAATTTAAAAGCTTCTACATAGTCGATTTTCCAAAGCGAAATGGTACATGCCCCAGGTATGATTTACTGTCTATATTTTGTAATTAACAGCCTGGATGGCTCCAGACATTTCTGGCTTCACTAATCTGGAAATGGAAAGAACTTTTCCCCAAAACTTAGCTGTCAAATTATTCTTCTATTAATGTACTGTTTGATGATGGTTTTGAAATGCCAAGGCACTCCAACAGATAACCATTTGAAAATCTGTACTTGAAGCTTTTAAATAGCATGAAATATTAGTGTGGGAACCCACAATCAAGCAGAGGGGCAGGTGCAGGGGAAAGGGAGGAAGACAGAGATGGAAGCGGCGGAAACAGTCTTGGGCCTCTTTCCTGATACTGGCATATTAATACTGGCAACAGAGTTCCTAGCATTTGCACAGCAACAATTAGCCAAGATACACTTTTTTATTTTCTGTAAGAATCAAAGCTTGCTTATTTGTGTATATTTGGAATTCCACCTGATAGAAAACAGGGGAAAAAAATCTACATTTCAAACAAGTAGAAAAGATTGGCCAGGCATGGTGGCACACACTTGTAATCCCAGCACTCAAGAGGTGGAGGCAGGAGGATCCTTGTAAGTTTGAGACCAGCCCATGCTACAAAGTGAGCTAAAGACTAGCCTGAACTGCACAGCAAGACCCTGTCTCAAGAAGACCAAAAAAAAAAAAAAGATAGTATAAAATCATATTATCAAACATCAAGTTGTCTAACTGTGGAAAGAACTTTATAAATTTCACTTTAAAGGCAAAAGAAAATTTTTCTGGTAAGTTGCTCTGTCTTCTTGGGTTTTAATACTCTAATCAAAAATCTTTCTGTCCAATATGGTAACTGCTATCCACAAGTGTCTACTAGGCTACTGCAGAAACCCTCACATGCTGTGTGTAAAACACATGCTGAATTCAAAGACTTAATTAGGAGAAAAATAATGTGAAATATTAATGATTTTCATGTTGAAAGAGATGATAACATTTTGGATACAATAGACTAAATAAAAACATTACTAATGTTAATTTTATCTGTTTCCTTTTACTTTGCATAATCTGGCTTCTAAGAAATTTGAGATTAAATATGTCACTCATTTGTGATGCTCGTATTTCTATTATTTTTTTTTTGTTTGTTTTGAGATGGGGTCTTGCTATGCAGTTCAGGGGGCCTTGAGCTCACTTTGTAGCCCAGGCTGATCTCGAACTTGCAGTGATCCTCCCACCTCAGCCTCCAGAGTGCTGGGATTACAGGCGTGAGCCACCATGCCCAGCCGTATTTCTATTATTATAATACTATATAAGTAAATCAGATTCAATTAAATTAGTTAAATCCCTCCAGGCCTAGAGTCTCACTCAAAGAAACTGTATACACTAAGAAGCTAATAAGTTTTAAGTTATCATAGAGAAACTTAGCTTTCAATAATACTTTATTCTTTCTCACTTTTCCCTGAGATGTCTCACTGCCTCATCATTCTGTTGCCCAAGGATCCCTAACGGTCAAGAAGAGTCAATGTGTCAGCCTAGCAATAAACCGCAAGTGGATGTTTAGGGACATTCTGGACGGATCATGTATTTGCCATATGACCATATTCTTTATAGACATGTTGATGTCTAGTTTTGATGTCTACGATGAACAATGAACTCTTTGTTTTAATATCTATACAAAACGAGCTGTGATGTCAAAGAACTTTGAAAGTCCCAAAATCCACTGATCGCACATATACTAGTACTTATGTGTTACCCGGGAAACATCTGAAAACTAGTGATTTCTAGGCTTAATGTTTGGAGCAGGTCTTGAGTATGTCCAAGATCCTGACTGTATCCTAAGAAGCTTCCCAGATCACTCTGAGGCTTTGACACAGGGACCCGCAGACATACTTTCTTTTGTAACTGGTGTATAAGATGAACTGTCCAAGTGGGAAGGCCTGGGGACCTCAGGCCTGGAAGCCAAGATGCAGGACTCCTACTGCCCACTGCCATCACATAAGGGTCATCTTCAAACATGTGCATTACTCACCCTTCAAGAGCCCCAGCCATCAGAATATCTTCCTTGTCAGTTTTAACATCCAACTCTGGTTCTCCACTAAGTAGAAGCTTCAAGTTATAAATAACCAGCAAAGTACCTGGTAGAAAAGTGGATGTTTGACTTGTCAGTATTTTAAATAGAATAAAATGCTACACATTGTGCTATCATCTCATCTATGAAACTGAGTCTGCTATAGATAAAATTTCCTTTTGTACCTCAGAAAATAATATGCTGGGATGTGTTCCAAAATATATATCTTCCAGCAGACTCTGCTCTCTGCCAAAGAATGTTGAGTTTTTATAATATGGTGTTTCTTATTACTATCCATTATAAGTCTTTCAAACTCTGGCACTGTTTTCATAATTTGCATCATGAAAATTGTTAGGAACCTGAGCCAAATTTGTATCACAGGCAAAGCTCTCATCAGTAGAACTGAAATCAATGCATAAAGAACGATGAGATTTTAAAACTGTAAAAATGCAAAATTTTGTTTCTAGACTTCATGGTTGGTATTGGCAAACTTTCCCTGCAAAAGGCCAGATAGTAAATATTTTAGGATCTGTGGGCCATATGGTATCTATCATAATTACTCGTAACTCAGCTTTGCCTCTGTAACATAAAGCAGTCACAGAGAATATATAAATGAATGAATGTCACTGTTCTGATAAAAATTTTATTAATAAAAACAAGAATGACCTGTGGCCATGGTTTGCGGATTCCCTGCTATAAGGCATGGTTAATGTAAGATCTCAAATTATTAACAAATTTGATTATGATATGAAGATATTTGGGACTGCCTGTAAAATGTAAAACAACTACTTGTACTTTTTGTAGGAAAAACAGTAGCATGGCCAAGAACATGGACTTTGGAGCCTAAATGCCTATGTCTAATTTGTATATAACCCCTTATTAATACAGTGACCCACTAAAATTATCTAATCTCTCTAAATCTAATTTTTCTAATCCATTAAACAGAGTTTAAGAAAGGCCTGCCACACAGCATTTTTTGAGAATTAAACTGACTTCATTTTTAGAAAGCATTTGGAAAAGTATTCGTAAAATAAGAAACCCTTCATTAATATCTATATATTTTATAGCTAGAAGTCAACCAAAAGATTACAATAAATTTCTTTGAAATACATTATGTATATTCTAATACAATGAATACTAATTTATTTGTCACTTTTATTCCTTCTGAAAAAGAAAAATAAGTGACTTCAAACACTATTTTTTAAGCGAAATGCCCTATCAGAGAAGAAATTTTGGTGGTAAAGCAAATCAAGCCTGAAACAAGTTTTTTCAACTTTCATTGTAAGCATTACATAAGTCAAAGTTACAAGAAGTAGGGTGCACACAGCTTTCTCGAAAGCAGAGCTCTTGTGCTTCTAGGTATAAAAACACAAAAGTCAGTGGATACAGCACACTCTGTGTTGAGGCAAAAGAAAAAGAGGAGGAAGATCTGTTAACCTGAGAGGAAAGTGTTGGCAAAGATTTTGTTAACTCTCTGTCTCAGAAATATAGATTTATTATTGTATAAATTGCTAACTTTCTTGTCAGCTGGTGTCACGCAGTCTCAGATGCTGCAATAAGCATCTCCAACTTCCACTACACGGTGCAGGGAGTGGCAGGTTACTGTGGTCAGAGCACACATCACCTCTTTCATTTGGTTTTATCCACCTCATGTGAGCACAAAACTTGCTCCTGCATCAAAGATTTATAGCAACTTACGTTTGAAGTCTCTTAAAACTCATGTTGACAAAATGAATGTCTTTATATGAGGTTATTAATACAAAAATATGAAAACATATAAAGAGTGTCCATTAAAATTTTAAAGTGTTTATGATCTTACCGCACGTTCCATAGATCACACCAAACTGCTGCATCAATTCGGCTTCGTTTTGAAATGGAGAATGTTTATAAATTATGGACAGTTCTGTTGAGAATTTTTGGGGATCATCTCTGATAGATTCTTTGGTTCTTGTTAACCATGAAGGCATTGGAACTACAACCTATTTTTAAAAAGTGAATGTATTATAAAATACACAAAGATCATCATGTTTTTGTCAGACCCTAATCTATACTTCTTTTCATCTAAATTATAAAACACAAAATGAAGTTTATTTTCTTCCCGCATTGTATTCTAATTTTATAGAGACAACAAATGTATATTTAGGGTTTTATTCTGAAGTAGTCCTCTGTGGAATGCAGAGACAGATGGAGTCTACCTCAGCTCCCTCTTGAAAGATGGGTGGAACGGCAGAGCAAACAACGCTATCAGCACTTTAGAAGTTGAAAAGTAGATGACAGCATACCAAGAAATACAACCCAAGGCCCCCAGCCAGAAAAGAAAGGAGCCAGCCTGATTTAAAATTCAGATTGATGGCAATAGCGCCAGAAGCAGCAGCAAGCTTCCCATCTGGCTACAGATCCTACTGTTCTCCAAAAGCCTGGAATGTTTATTCTCTCAAAGAAGTGCACCAACGTGTTTCTGGACCTAAAGACCTATAGGCACTTGTCACTAGGGAAACCTTACTGAGAATAGGGGAACGGAGTGAAAGTGTATATTATATCTAATGCTGAGAACCCCAAATGCTTTTTCTCATCTGCTTCCCAAAAAAGCTGGCAGCTAGATTGTCGGGCAGAAGTCTGTAGGAAATCTGACCAGTCCAGAAGGAAAGGTCTAAAGAAAATAACACTAAATGTTATCCAACAGAAAAGCCCAGATTGTTGGATTACTTAATTGGTATACTCAGAGCTGCCAATGCCACACTCTTGGGAGTTTCAATCAACATTTTATTGCACTAATAAAAGTGCTCTGGACTAAGAGTCATCTAAGAAAATCATCTGATATGGTAAATGGAAACCACATAAACAAAAATAAATAAAGCAACTCAGTGAAACAGAAACCATACAAGAAAGATGAAAATGTCAAAGAGAAAAAAAGTCATTGTTAACAATCTGCAGAGCTGTTATGAGAAAATACTGCATGAATGAAGCAAGAACCAGGTATTGGGCCAGGGGTTTAGCTCAGTGGCATAAGTGCCTACCTGGCAAGTACAAGGTCGTGAGTTTGATCCCTGGTATAAAAAAAAAAACAAAAACTAGATACCGTAGAAAAAAGGTTCACTGAGAGAATAAAATAAGTTTCTTGGAAAAGCTGGGTACATGTAGAATACAAATAATGTCCTGGAGAGTGGTCCCCAGGGGCTAGGGTTGGAGCTCTGTGGTGCTACTTTTGCTTAGCATGCCTGAAGCCCTGGATTTGATCCCTGGCACTGCAATCAACAGATAGTGTCTGCCTCTGATGAACCCCAGAGTGAATCAATACCTTCTCTCCATTTCTCACACGTGGTTCTAAATCCTAAACAAGGAAGAAGTCACAACAATTTCAACTCCTGAGAGGATAAAGGGAGCAACACTGTTGCCATGGCAGCTGAAGGAGTTCCTCAGATCCTACCTCACTCAGACTTTCTTCTTCACAGAACGTCTGAGAAAAAAGCACGCAGGTCATTGTTTCTTCCTTCTTCGTAAAAAGAATAAAATCTTTTCCAATTCTCATGGACCCACTACATTGAAAATGAAGAACACAAGATTTACACCTCAGATGTTAAAAATGAAAAACACAAGGTAGCTTGAAAAGTGCACTGTAATGGTTTGCTCTTCTGAACAACCTGTCCCATTGACCTATCACCAAGCGGTCACAATCATTATTTTATTTCTCAAAGTAGCACTGAGAATTGGAATGCATCCAGTCTCACTCTTGCTTGAGACCCAGCTACCAAGATGAGGTTCCATCCATGGCTCAGAAGAACAATTACTGGACCCTTGTGGAGATACACAGGTGAGCCTCAGGCCTCACCTCTCTTTGAGACAAACTAGAAAAAGCTGTAGGCTACAGCACTTAGGCTACAGCATGCTTTGAAACACAACTGAACAGAGAGACCATTTACAATGGAGTCTGAATAATCTCCAGAGGTACCACTTCAACAGTACCTGTGAGAAGTCACTTTAACTATATATAACAATTAATTTTTAAAATGTTGCACAAATCATGACAGTTATGGGGATGGAGATTCCAAAACAAGGCAGAACTTCTCTAAAAGTTTACAGTGTTTTTAAGTTTTACAGTTTGACTCATTCTGCATAAGTCTGCCTTTAATACTGTTTCCAGTATAAGTAATGCATGCATCAGGAGGAAAAATGCTCACCTTTTAAGACCATTGCCATATTGCCCAATGAACTTCGAGGTGGGCAAGTGTTTCTTGTGTGTTCCGAAGTTAATTATGTGTGAAGCTTCCTCTGTAATTGACAATGACACTCAAGATGGTTAGGAAGAGTGATCTTATCACATATCTCAGGGAATTTGGATAAACCCATACCTCCTGGGCCAGTCCATAGACAAAGATTCATATCAGGATTCACAACTTCGGGCAAGGATCTTAATGATGTGACATGCATGGAACTGGGACAGACTTAATTTCATGAATTGGGACAGAGTTCAAAACTATGAGCCTTGATCAGAAGGCTTGCCCCCTGTGGGCAGCCAGCATGGGCAGGAAATATAGCCAGCCCTACCCCTGCACATATGCTGCCATTGGGAAGCTTGCTTCCCTCAGGTAAGCAGTGTGGGAAAGGAGAAACAGCCAGATATGCCCCTTATGCCCACAGGCCACCACTGGAGATACTTGCTTCCCATGGGCATCCAGCATGAGCCGGGAAAATCAAACATGCATCTGCGTGCCTATTGCCATAAAGGGAGTCCCAGCGTAGCCATGTAGACTAAGAGAAGAAGCAGCCCTGCCACCATGCACCTATGGTCATTGAGGAATCCTCAGTGTAGCCACACAGGTCTGGAGAATTCCACCTCATACCCTACTGCTTCCCAGGGAACCTGAGTTCAGAGAAATTCAGGTGCCTGCCCCAGGTCCCTACATTGCAGAGGGGCAGCCATTATAGGAAGTACCTGGAATTCCACAAATGGTTTGTTGTGAGGAACATAGCAAAATGTCAAGACAAAGGAGCAAAAAGCAAGCTCAGACCTCCAGCCCATACAGACCAAGTCTGGGAGTTACAGATATAGAAGAAAATGGAATTCACATGCCTGAAATGTCTGAAAGGATAGTAACTAAAGTAAAGAAACAACTTCATGAGTTTGTAAAAGTAATCAAATCAGAAATAGAATCTCAGCCCATGAGCTAGGCTCCACCATGGAGACTGGGAGACAATTCAGCAAGAAGATAAAGCATGACGTCCCTTGAGCTGGGCTCTGCCCCAATCAGGAGACTCAGCAACAAGACAAAGCATGAGCCAACCAATGCACAGGCTGGGAAACCAGAAGAGCATCACCCTACCCCCAAGTGCACCCACATACACACTGGTAAGCAACGCACTGATTCAGAGGACTCAAAGTGAGATGATAACAATTGAGGTCAAAGAACAGCTTGATGCCTGTACTGTTTGACTTTGCAGGCCTGGTACTGGTGGTCTGGGCATTTTTTTGGAGGATGGCAGTGTGCGCTGTGGCACCTGTGGGCGACCTCCTTCTGTCTTGTTTTTTAAATCTATTCATTTTACTGTTTTGTTTTATTTCAGTATTTGGTGGCCTAAGCAACTATTTTGAAGATACCAATATGCAATATCACAACCACTGTTAAATTCCTATCGTTTCGTTTTGAAAATATATAGCTATTGTTGCTTTGTTGCTGCTATTTTGTCATTTTGCTTTTGTTGCTTTGTTAGACTTATTTGTTGATTTTTCTGTTTTTTTCTCTTTAAAATAAAATTTAAAAGAATATCTCAGATAAAAGAAGAAATTGAAAACAATGAAAGAACTGCTGAGCATATCTAAAGAAACATAGATAAAGAAGAGGAACATAGGAAAATGATGGAGTAGCCAGCCTTCCTGGTAAGCTGTGCAGGCCACGTACACTACAGGGAGAGAAAAGCCAGCATCTCCTGAGAATCCGCCATGCTGGGAGTTGGGGGACCAACGAAGACATCAACCAGCCAGCCTTCCTGGCAAGCTGTGCAAGTCACACACATTCCAGGGAAACAAAAGTCAGATAGTGCTTTCTGTGGACCTATTGGTGCACGGGCTGAGAATCAAACAGGGTCCATCCGCCCCCTTCCCACCCACGACGTCAGCAATCAGACAGTTCAAAGGACAGCCTGAGTTGACAGCAACTAAGGTACATAGAGCAACTAAATGTGTGTATTGTTTGATTGATTATGCTGACCTGAGGCCAACAGTCTAAGCATCTCTTGGGAGGATGACAGTGTGCAATATAGCAAATATAGGGGATTTGCTTCTGTCTTGTCTTTGAAGTCCAATATTGTTTGCACTGTTTTGCTTTGTTCTGATTAACTGTTTTGCTTTAGTCAATATTCTGTTTTGGTTGGTTTTATAGTGGGTTGGTTTTTGTTTGATTTTGCTATCACTGATGGAATGGACAATTATGATAACAAGATATACTATGGTAGCTATTATTGTTTTCCTGGTATCCTGCTCTGAAGTTCTATACCAATTTTGATGCACTGTCTTGATTGGTTTTGTTCTATCTTGTTTTGTTTTTTAGAATTTTACTACCTTTTAAAAAAAAGATGGAAACCTTGAAGAACAATATAGGAAAGAATTACAATGCATCAAGAGATTTCAAGAGATATCCAGGAAATTAAAAGCTCCATCAAAGCTGACAAACTACTTGAAAGAGACTCAAATAGAGTTTCAGACCTTAATGACAGGATTGCAACCAGTGATTTTCAAAGAACGATCTCCTAAAAATAGAAAGGAACCAGGATATAACAATTCAATGGCTGCAAGCCAACACAAAGAAAAATAATTTAAGAATGATAGGTGTCAGTGGAAAAGTAGAGGCCAACACAAATGACATAAAGACTATTTACAGAAGTGATAGCAGAAAACTTACCAAATGTGGGGAAAAAACCTGTGGCATAAAGATAAGCAAGGCATATAGAACTCCAGTTAGCCATAACCAAAATAAATCCATGCCCAGATATGTAATAATCAAGATCCCAGAAATTCAACACAAGAACAGAATATCAAAGGCTGTTGGAGAAAAGAAACAGATCAGCTGTAAAGGAAAACCCATCAGAATTACAGCAGGCTTCTCAACACAAACCAACAAATCCAGAAGAGCTTTGAGTGAAGTGTTTCAAATCCTGAAAGAACACTTCTAACCCAGATTAATGTACCCTGCAAAACTGTGTTTCAAAATTGATGGAAAAATAAGATACTTCCATGGTAAAGAACAACTGAAAAAATTCATTACCACCAAACCAACCTTACAAAAGGTACTGAAGGGTATTCTAGAGAGAAAGATAGCAAAGATTCCAGGAATAGCAGCAGAGGAAGATCACCAAACAGGGCAGGCAACTGGAGAAAAGGAAAAGTGGAGGGCCAACAGCAGGAGGATAGCATGGCAGAGACAAACCAGTGCATGCCAGCTGTAACCATTAATGTAGATGGCCTCAATTCAGTAGTAAAAGAAACACAGGGAGAGTGGATCAAGAAACAAGATCTATCAATATGCGGTATATGAAAAACACATTAAATTCAACAGAAATTCATAGACCAAGAGTCAAAGGTGAAAGAATAATGTTCCATGAGACAAGAAACCAGAAAAAAAAAAAAAAAACAGTGGTAGCTTTCTCATCAACTGCAGAATGGATGAGGGAAATATGATATTTTTATGCAATTGAAAACTACTCATCTATAAAAAGGGGTAATCTCGTTGCTCCTGTAGGTAAATGGATGAAACTTGAGATCATGCTCATGGATGAAATGGTTTAGACTCATATGGGTGAACATCATGTTATCTTCTAACATAAAAAAACCACAATAAACACACAATATGCACATGAATGGAAACAGCGTAGGGAAGCCTGTCAGTTCATACAGTTAATACACAGTAATGACTGTAATTTTTCAAATCGCTCTCTCAATAATATGGATTATTCTACATCAGCTGTCCCTTAGTTTCTGATAGAGGTATATGTACCTTGACAAATCTGTCATAAATTGAAAATATCAGAAGTTGAAAATGCGTTTACTACCCTAATTGCCAAACTTCAGTTTAGCCACAGTGTGAGCTCTGCAATGCAGCCTCCCCTTCACGGTCATGCAGCTGGCTGGGAGCAGGAGGTTGCTGCTGAAGTCCAGCGTAGCAAAAGAGTATCCTAACACTCGCTGTTAGTCTAGAACAAAATGCGAAGTTTCTACTGGCTGCATATTGCTTTGGTGCCGTGAAATAAAGCAACACATTTTAACTTGAATCATGCTAAGTCAGGGGCCTCCTGTGTTTCAGCTAAGATGCTAGTCCCTTCTGAAGGCCTGAATATTTGCAGGAGCTCTCCTCGTTCTGCTTGTTCATAACCAACAGTAAAAGAATTTCTAGTGAATATTTTTATTCGTGCATGTTTGCAGTACACAATAATTATACATTTGCTTTTTTACAGGAATGGCTTTAGGCGATATCATGAATAGTCTGCCATTTATTTTAAGAATTGAGGAATATGAGCTTATTATTGGGGCTAGAAGCAAAAATGAAACTTTTTTTGAGTCTGGCTTTTTTTTTTTTAACAACCTCTTTATCTTCTCATATTTAAACACTAAAGAATCAAAATGACCTGGAAAAAAATCAGAATCATCAAGGCAAAGTCAGAACATAAACTGGATGGGCTACTACTCAAGCATTTTCTAAACTTGCTAATAAATAATTCTTTGAAAATTGAGACAAAGGAGCAATTTTAGAACTAGAAGGAGATAACTGCTTAACTTTGCATGCTCAGCCTACACTGGTAGTAATGACCACTGTTTCCTCAGATAAGCAAGCCCACAAGAACATCTCTATATGAGCCTCTGCGGGTGGACTGACAGCTGGTGGTCAACCTGTAACACTAGGCTGAACTGAAAATCAGCGTGGTGCTGAGTGTGGAGGGCCCACCTGAGGACAAACAGGAGAACTGGAGAGGAAGAAGTAGTGTTGTTGGTTTTCCTGGTGCTGTTAGTTCTCATACAGAAGCAAGTCATGCTGGCTTTCCTGATACAAACTTGGCTGTTCTCATCATTGGAAGAGTTCAGGACCTTATTGTCACTGAGGATAGCTATGATACTTTTTATGGGGACTCTGATCCTTACTTTGAGCGTCATTTCCTAGCTGTAGTGCAGAACCTTCAGCCTACTGGCACAAATCCTTCACGCTGCTGACACAGACTTTCTAGCTTCTGTCGCTGACCTTTGAGGATTCCCAGCACAGACCCATGAAACAGACTTGCATGAGACATTGTCTTGGGCTCCAGGCCTTCAGCTGGACTCATTGAGGACACTGCCATTGGATCCAGGGCCTCTGATGGATTCTTTGGGTCTTTATTTTGTGGGTATATTTCCTGTACTTCTTTTGTATTTGACTCTTTGGGTCACTATTATAAAATAATCCTATAAATTATATGTCCTGTATTAAATTGTTTTATTTGCAAATCTGTACTATAACAGCCCCTTCAACATTTTTGAAGCAAAGTGGTCAAAATCCTAGCTTGTGGGACATAAAATGTTGTAAGAATTAAGGAATATGCTATCTAAAAAAACTCAAAGCTCACATCAGAAAATGATGTACATTAGACCTATGCGCTATTATGTATTGACTTTGTGCTAAATCTAAGTAAATAAAGTCATGTAATATTTGTCATGAGGGGGCCATCCATTTGAACCTAAACACGTTTGAACCTGCAAAGGAATGACCAAACTGCCATGAACCAGAAGAGGTGACCTCTACCTCAAGGTTACATAGAAAATTTAAAATAACTTAAAGGTGCTGGGAATAGCCTTGGTGCTCTTGCAAGCCACAGTTGAAAGATGGACTGAAAACAGCCTCAGATGGCATCTGGTCACTATTTCTATTCCATTCATTCCCCAGACACTTTTTTCTAACAATCAGTGCTATTTGTCTGTCACTCTTTCTGACAATATCTATTTACATTCACTTATTGTCTTCATTGAGAATCTAAACTTCAGATGATTGCAATGAATTTACTCCACTGGCTGGAAAATTTAATCCTAAAAACTTCACCAATAAATGATAGCTTTATTTTCCTATCAGCTCCATACCTGCTTCTGAAGAGATAGCTCAATTTAGTTTTATTTATTTTATGAGTCTTCAGACTGTTTTCTTTAACAGCCAGTTAAGTGTCTAGATAATTAACTTACCAGGGCTCAGGCCACATCCATCATCCAGGAAGCACAACAGGAATCCACCCTGCAGTTTTTCATTATCCACTGTAAGGGAAAGCAGTTATTACTAATAAATATTGGGCTTAATTTGTTCATCAGAAAGTCATGCTGCTCACATAATTATTCGTCCTACTCAGCTGCAGCCATGCAGTGACAGAGTTACGGCACAGTGATGCAGCTCAGAATGGAGTCTTGGCTACAGCTTCATAAAAAAACTACAGGGGAAAAACAATCATGCAACAAAAAGGCTTTAAATTAACGTAACACATCTACATGTTAATAAATTATGTATGCAGCAGGACATACACTGCTCTGAAATTGGACGAGGCCTTTAAATTTCAGGTGTTTCTTTCCTGGGAGAGGAAAACAGTAGTTGATGATGTAACCACAGGATCCCTCTATCACATTGATCAACCTTTATGCCCTCCTCTGACCAAAGCACTAATTCAAAAATAAATCTAAGCCATTCTTATTAAATTCACCAGGTTGCTTCCTAAGCAAGCATTTAATTCCTGTAAGAACCCTTTATTGAGTGTTTCTTTGTGGCAGGAAATATTTGCTTTCTGAAGATGCATTTGATTTTTGATTTTTTTGGCCATTAATTGAAATCAGTTGTGATGATACAGCGGCACCCTTAAATTATATAAAAAATCACTTCTGGTTTTAAACTTGTTAAAGATGTAACTAAAACTACTGCGATTAATTTTATAATTTATGGTTTTATAGTTGTATAGTTTCAGAATCAGTTTATAAACTCTTTCTGCGAATAGTTTCAGTGGTTGGATTGTGAGTTCCACAAAGAAATATTTAGGTGTTATTACAGAATTATTTATGCATAATAAACTGCATATGTTTATATAATATGATAAATTTGGGTACTTATACACCCACCCATACACACACATTCTCTCATACACAGGAAACTGTCACTACAATTAAAGAAGTGAACACTGTCATCACACCACACATTTCCTCCTGGGGCATCTGTAATCTCTCTCTTCTTTTCTTGCATCATTCTGCATCATTCCCAGGCAATCTCTTGTTCTGCTTTGTGTTTCTATGAATTACTTTCTAGCACATTTAAATCAATCATTATGTTCAAAGGTCAACTAGAATTCACGTTTACAAATCAGCACAAGACTAAATATCTAAAAGATATATGTAATTGTTTTTTGTTGCTGTAACAAAAGACCAAAGGCTAGATAACTTGTGAAGAAAAAAAGCTTATCCATCCCACAATCCTGAATGCTCAAGAATAAGGTACCAGCTTCTGCCCAGTTCTGGTGAAAGCCTCATGGCAGACAATACCACAGGTGCAGGAACACATGCCAGTCAGAATGATCATGTAGCAAGACAGGAAGCCAGAGACCCAAATGTCAAGTTCACTCTCCTATAACAATCTACTTTTATAAGAACTAACTCTGGAACCAGCATGAATCCCTTTCGAGGTCAGGGCCTCCAATGACCCAACTACGTCTCACTAAGCCACTTCTTTTAAAGGTTCCATTGCCTCTTAAAATCATCCCACTGAGAGTTAAGTTTCTAACACATGAACTTTTAGGGGGAAACCACATCCAAACTCTAGCATTAATCTTTTGAGATTCAAGGGTTACACTCTTGTGCCCAACCTAAAAGCTCCTCCTGGTTGTCTTCTGTTCATGTAGGACTGGGAACTACCTGGGCCCAACCAAGTGCAGCCTCCAGGCATCGCTGGACAGTAATTACACCTCGTGCTGCACTTCTTGGTATATTTTCTCAAGGAAAAAGCATGCATAGAAAGCGATGGCTTCCATGAACAGCTGAAAAACCAAGATTCCCAACAGCTATATAACATTTGGCTCCTTTTTAAAATTTTGATAAAGCTGTGTCATAGATTGGGGGCAAACAAGTATGGTCCCAAAAGTGTAACAATCCCTACTATCTACCCTGAAACTTTGTTTTATTTCAGTTATTCAAAACTATGGATTTCAGAGATGGCTACCATCTGTTAATTACACGTCTGAGATCAGACAGACAACTTTTCCCTCAGGAGACTTACTCCTTCTTCTGCTGTTCAGTAGGTGACACACTCTGCTCTTAGCCATCACTGGCCCCTCCAGGTTTTCACCCCACTCATGGACAGGGTCGTCCTGATTTTATCATCTTTATGTCTTTCAGACTCCATCACTTCCTCTACTTTCATTCAGGAAACCACCATTTCTTCTCTAGCTATAGCACCCTAACTTCTTTCTCTCCCTAAAATCAAAGGGTGAGGGGTTTTTTCTGCTATCCTGCTAAAAACCTCTCCATGGCTTCCCATGCTTTTCAGATGAAATGAAAAACATTTCGCAGATCTTGCTGCTCCTGGTCTGCTGCTGCTTCTCAGACTTATCCTCCTGCTTCCCTCTGATGCCGCCTTCCTGTCCCACAAAAATACTTCCCTAAATGATGCTTGCACGTCTCAAACATTTTTCTATGTTCTCTCTGAATTCAAGGCCCAGCACATCCTGTTCCTGTGCGCTCTCTGTGCTTGAGTCACCAGATGAAGGCCTGTTTTCTCTAGATTAGTTCATATAAGATTTCTGGTAGCTTTGGTAATCTTCCTCCACCCTAAAGGACCCAGAATGAATGTTCTTTTCCTAAAGTTTCTTTTCAACTTTCATAACACATTTTTAAAATATTCATTCATATATCTACCTCTGTTTCAGACCTTAATTTTTAGATCTTTTTGGAACATAATTATTTGTAAATAAGACAAAAGCTGTAGGATCTTTACCCATAAAAGTGTAAATACATACATTTTCCACAGATGCCTACACTAAGGTGCCAATTCCTTAAAAGTGGACACTGTGCTAACTAACTACTCAGGCCAATGCCTGACACTCAGTGACCACTGAAAAATGTATTCAGGGCCCTGAGTAATATACCATGGTGACCTAATATACCTAATACACCATGGTGAGCCTATTTAATTTGAATTTCACAGTCTTCAAATTATTTGGAAGAAACTAATTAGAGAGTAAGTCAGGGCCTCAGTAAATTATTTGAAAATTAGTCAAATCTTAGACTAACTATATATCCTCAGAACAATTTTACCTATAGACATTAAGCACTGTCCTGGTTTCTATTTTTGCTTTTGTTTTTAAGAAACTTAATTTGCAAGGTTGATAGCCAATGATGATTCACTGCAGTAAAATAAAAGCATGTAACATGAAGAAGCAATTTAACACATGCAAGCAAAAAAAGGAAACAATGTGTCTTGTTTCCTTCTCATTTCTGGGACAAAATACTCAACATCCAAATTAAAGAGGGAAAGATTTATTTAGTTCATAGTTTGTGGAAGCTCCGCTCCATAATCAGCTGGCTCCCAGGCAGGGCAGCATGACAGAGGGGCAACAGTCCATGGTGACAGAAGACACCAAGAGCAAAAGGGGAGGAGCAAACCTCTTTCCCTCCCCTATATTGTACGCAGGCTCCCCACCCCAGGGTGGATGTAGCACTCACAGGATCTTCTTGCTCCTACAAAGGCTCAAGAGGTTTACATAGTGAGGACCCTGGCCTCATGCTGAGTTGCTTAGTTAAACTTTTAAACTTCTCAAGTTGATGCAATGACTCAATGGTTACAACACCCTCGGGCATAAACAGCCACCCTATGGCAAGTCCTCTATGCCCTATGATGTAAAACTGTTGGGTCATTTAATTAAGCTTCTAAACTTCTCAAGTTAACACAGTGTATCAATCATTACATAGTGCTGCTTTCATCTCAAACTGGCCAGCTACTGTCTTGCTTGTTTATGATAATACTGAGTGCTCCGGAGAGTAGGGTGAAATGAGCACTCTTATCCCTCCGGTGTCCTGTCACACCCAGGAGTACCTCGTGTGTGGACTCTGACTACAGCTGCTGAGCTCTGTCATTCTGGGTGGTCTTCTTAGCCTCTCATCAGTAGAAACTGTGCTCTGAATGAAATGCTGCTTCTGTCCATTCATCATTTCTGGGATCACTGCCCTACTTCAGATTCACACGAAATCATGCTTAGGCAATTTCCATGACACATCTCCCTCTAGCTCTCCTTTTGTGATCCTCCAGGCTATCTGTTATGCTGTTACTCTAATATCTTTATGTTAGGAAGGAAAAAGACCACATGTCTATTTAAAAGAGTGACACCACACAAACCCTTCACAGGTCCACTGACTAAAGAAAAACATCTTGGTGTCATACTCAGGCCCTTCATCCATTTTCCCCTAACCCTTAGCTCTAGCCAAGCTAACATCGTAATTGTTCCCTAAATATTTTTTCTCCGGATAACTCTACGGTGCAATCCCTCCCATCATTCAGGTCTTCAGAGAAACTTTCCTAGACTATCCTATGAAAACCTGTGTATCTTTCCTAGTATTCTGTTCTCTAAATCTGCTTTTTTTCCCTTTAGCACTGCCTGATATTTATATTTTTATTAGTTCATGCTTGTAATAATACTTCATTCCTACATGCAGTTAGCATATGCACATATTTTAATTTCTTTTTGGATCTCTTTTCCCTCCTCTCCCTTTCCTCTCCCTCCATCTTTTCATCTCTTTCCATTTGAGGAAAGCTCAAATGAGGATCTAGCTCCCCATGATCTATATTTTATCTTGCTCTTTATTTGTGATTTTGGTTTCTAAGAGAAAGCATGCAATACTTAAATTTATGTGCCTATTTCACTTAACAATATGATTTCAAGGTATATCCAGAGGTTTCCTACAAATAACTCGTTTATTTTTATGGTAGAATAGTACTGCACTATTTGTAAAAACACATTTTCTGCATCCATTCATTTGTAGATGGATAAATATTGTCATCCATGCCTCCAAAAGCATGTTTCATGAGAGTACAGACTTAACATTTTGCTTAGTGTTTCTTTCCCAGAAAAACAAATGCTCAATAAACTGTTGTTAAATATATGAACAAATCCCTCAATAATTTAACTTTATTCTTTTTCCTCCTAATTACATTTTAGACAACAATACTTTTTTTTTTACACTACTTGACAAAACTCACATGCACATTTCAAGATCCAGGTCTTTAGTATGAAGTGATTTCTCCTTTACCTGTGTGTCTATCATACTTTGAGCCTTTCCTAGGCAAGAGATACTTTCCTATCCTACTCCCTGTATGGATGGTCTATGACTAAATTAATGTGGTTTCCACTTACAGCTTTTGCAACTTCCAATGGTTTCACTGGTACAGAACCCCACTGAAAATCAACACAAAAGAAAAGACCATTTTTTCTCCACCAAAGAAGCATCAGCATGATATGGAGCAGTAAATTTGTTGGTCGTGAGAAACAGTTTTATTTTTAAAAGCTTATTAACATAATGACTATTGCTGATCAAGTATACATTTTTTCCAACTTATCACAGTTTTAAAATATATGAGTGAGTTTACGTAAATGTTGATTCTGAGCTCCCTGATCTGGCTGGTCCCAGAGCTAAAAATAAACTGCTCAGACCCTTCCTTCATTCTGCTTTTGGGAGCAAGCCTCGTGCAGAGAGCTGGCCTTTGCTTCCTTCTCCCCAGGGAAGGCCAGTGTTGTGGGAAGCTGAGCTCCAGACTGTGAGCAGCCTGACCCCAGGGTCTGATCAGCGAGTGCATGTTCTCTCTCACAAAAGCTCCACATTCTGACCTAGTATCTGGTAGATGCTGATTCTTTCATACATTTCTCAAACACTTCAGAACCTGGAAAGTACAAGCGGGGAAAGAACATCATTTACCATATTCTCGGATGCCTTGTGATATCCATGACTCCCTCGGCAGTGACAACCAAGTACCTGATTCATGCTCAAAAAGTTAACTCAACTGCAATGCTTTTTAAATAAGACATGGGTTAGCATCATGGAGAACATCCTCCTGCCTGTGACCAGCAGCCAGAATTACAGGGCAGCTGATGGAATCAAGGGAGACGAGCCGAACTTCCACTAAGGGCCATTCTCTGAAGCACAGAACCCACAGTCAGTAGCTGCCTATTCAGATGAGATTAAGAAACAACTGCAATCATATTCGGAGGCTATGAATGAAGTCAATGAAGGCCTTCAACCATTCACCATTATGTTCACTTACTCATTATAAAACTCCAAAAAGTTGAAAGTGATGGATGCTTAATTACAAATAACCATGAAGTTAATAAGCTTTTCAAAAACTGTTTCTCATGGCATGTAAATTTACTGCTCATATCGCTTTGATGCTTTCACAAACTCTAGAAGACCTAATTTTGTAAATGGGTCCCCTAATAAGTGAACAATCTGACTCTCAGAGTATACTTTGCTCAAACGGGTTCCCCATTGGGTTACTGTGTTTAGGAGGCATTTAGATTACATTAAAGACCTTTAGAGTGTAGTTTTATTTCATGGAGTAAAATATAAAATAGCTACCGGCTTTCCATTAGAATTAAAACCGATGAAAGGAAATCTGCTCACCTGAAAACACATCAATTCTTGTAGCCCCTGCGTCTCTGGAAACAATATAAAAAAAATCACAGCTTCAGTGAGAAATTATATTTAAAAACGACATTAATTTGAATTGATTATACGAGGTATAATCTATTGTCAGGTATCAAACAATACAAAACTCCACTAAAATTGCTTTAAGATCAATTACTGAAATGTTCTGCTGTACAGTTTTATACTTAGAACTATCATCATTCATAATTTGAGAACATTACCAAGAGGGAAATTCACAAATGTAAAAGAAGTGATAGAACTTAGTGGTACTTTACACAGAGAGCTCAACAAAGTGATTATGAATACAGAATTTTAAGAAAAAATTTCTAGAGAGTGATCCGTAAGATACAGAATGACTATATACTTTGCACTGTAAGAAGAGCATATATGACACATATGCTTATAACAGAAAAAAAAGAAGGCAAACCATGGTCCTCAAGCCAAATCTGGGACACTGTAAATGAAGTGTTAGCAGAACATATTACAAGCTTATTCATTTTCATATCATCAATGACTTCTTAAGCATACTACGGCAATGCTGAGTCCTTGCAACAAAAGCCACGCGGTCTGCAGTGAAGATATTTACTATTCGGTCTTTGGGCAGAAACATAGACTCTTGCTTTACCTGAGGAGGTCTCCAATTTTTTCTTATCTCTTCAGTTTTCTAAAATTCACTGATACTATTTTTGCAATTCTAAGAGTTATTCTTACAATAAAAAAAAAAAAAAAAGGAAAGGAAAGAGAGTCACAAGGTCCCAGCTTCAGCATCGCAGGTGTGGAAGGGGGAAGATGAGGAACGTAGTCTTAGCTGATCTGGAGCAGGTCTCAGGATGAAGGCAGGAGTCTAAAGGGAAGCTTGGTCATGGACTCTCGCTCCAAATTTCCCCCCAATTACATCTGAGCGACATACTGCACTTATTCTAAGTCACCGAGTTTGTGCCTTATACCTGCTTCCTCTACTCAACCCTTATTTCTAAACCTTCTTTGCATAGAAACCTGCAATTACTACCGCCATTTCTTCAGCAATTCCTATGTACCACACAAAATCGAATGAAGTGTTTCTGTTTGTGCTCTTGTAATCCTTAACGCAATCCCCATGGCATGTAGGCATCAATGTCTCTATGATGCATTACACAAAGTATCACTATACTGAACTAGCAGGGATTTGTTTTTTTGGTTTTTTTCCTGAAGAATGCTACTTTTAATCTTTCAAGGGCATCATGATGCATGCCTGTAATACCAGCACTTATGAGGCTGAGGCAGGAGGATCACCACAAGTTAAATCTAGCCTGGTTGACACAGCCAAGCCAATCTCCGCTACAGTGAGATCCTGTTTCAAAAAATGAAAAATAAAATAAAATCTGTCAAGGAAAACAGAAAACTCAGATCATTTATGTAGTGCCTCTTGTTTCTTAAATCTTCTTCTTTTGCTTCCTTCCTTTTCTTTTTGAATTCAGGGCAAAATTTCACCAAGAGGCAAATCTCAGATGTGCTAGACCAGGTCAGGGGGCTGCTGGTTTACAGACGCTGCATTAAAACTGCTCTCAGGGATTGCTTGTCTGGCACTTCCCCGAGCTGGAGGTCAAGCTTTCTTCCTCAGGCCACCACTCATCCTCGGCTATGTAAACTGCCCCCAGGGTCCTATTTCTGCTATGCTCTGATGTTTTCTACCCTCTGTCAAATGAATGAATGAAACTTTCAGAGTGAGGGTCAGCAAGTTGCTGATGATGGACCACTGAGTACCAGGACTCATGGAAATAAAAGCCTCTGTTTTCAGGCTTTGCAAGCGACAACAGTGGCCACCCTGACACTGCAGAGGAGCAGCCACAAGCATTTCATCTGTACAGGCCCCATCCTTTTTAGCTCCTTCTAACTTGAATTCACGGCTCAATCAACTTCGTTCTCTTTCCTCTTCTTCTCTCCCTTTGTATGAGTTCCTTAGTTTTACAAAGACAAGGCTGCATCGCCAGCAACTTTTCACTTAGTGCTGAGCACAAATTCCCAGATAGCTAATTAACTGACTATTCAATACGGACACCTTCTCAGAAGAGTCATTTCCCTTCTATGGCCAGAAGCCTGCAACAAACACAAAAAGCTGAAATACTGTTATCAGCCAGGGGCAGGGCATTTAGATTCCCTCACTGAGACCCCTTATCTAAAAACCTCTGACTATATCCTAAGTGCACCTTGCCTTTTACAGAGAAAGTAGGAAAACCCCTTCTGTAAAATGGAAATCATATAAAATAAGTCAAATATCATGTTCAGTTTAGCTTTAAAAAAAGATTCCCTCCCAAGTCTCCACAAATACACATTTGAATGAAACTTAAACAGGTTCTTTAAACCTCACTGCCTTCAATAGAAACAGTAAAATGGGCTTCAGAAGTTCTGTAGCCAAAGGTGCAAATGGGAACTCTAACTGTGCCTAACAATAACTGTATAACTTTGAATAAATCATCTAGCTTCTATATCCTGACTTCCAATAAGAACTGAGATAAGGATTCCGCCCTCAGATTAGGAAGTAAGAATGAATGAGCAAGTACCCATATGAATGTGTTTATGTGTACCTGCTGTACAGTGAGATGGCAGTAATACTTCCCTCCAGGCTACAGTTCACTTCAATGTACACTTCAGTACGTGCCCAGACCCAAGTGAAAATTCTAAAGACAAAATATATATTGATCTACAGCTCAAAAACTATCCAAATATTTGCTATTACATTGTGATCATCACAAACACACAGATCCAATTTACCTGCACTGCAAGTCTGATCATAAATACAATTTAAATTAAGGTAAATAACTCGTCTCATCTATTTCTGATAAATTCACAAAGAATTTTGATTTTTTTTTTATAGGAACTGAAGTCACAAAACACTTCAAATGGGGGAAACGACGACATATTTTTATCTTCAAATACAGCCAGACTCAATTTATGCTATGAAATTCTCTCGACGATTTTTGTTGATGGTAAATCTCACCTTGCGTTGTCCAGCAATTCAGCAAGGGCTCCAAAAAGGAAACCGTGAGTTGTGCTGACAAGGAAATAAAGGAGAAACACAAGGTTAAACCAAGTGTGTAATAGGGTAAGGGGTTGAGGATGCTCGCAAACAAACGTTCTGCAGTTCTGGACAGATAATCAATTCAAAAGTTACTCTGAAAACAACTTGTTCAGCACAGCCAAGATGCTGAAGCAGATGCTTTGCTTTCCAAAGCCAATGAAAGGACATGGGACACATGTCCTGTTCACTCCTCAAGAAACAAAGATAAAATTAGCTTTCCCTTTAAAAATTGCTTTGAGAGAGTGCTGGCAGGAGGAAAAGGCAAATCCACAGTCGTGGTGCAGGGTTTCTACCCGCCTCTGGGTGGGATCTGAGGCCCTGCACTTGAACTGAGCCGCTCCATGGTTCCACAGTTGTGCAGTTTGCACAGGGCCCACAGAGGACATTTCAGCCTCTATGTCCAAGGGAGCGAACTGCCCCTTCTCATATCGCTTTTCTCACCCTTTCTATTCTGTCTCTCTGGGTAACTCTAAACAATGTACTTCAAAAATTTTATGTATGAAGCATTTATAAATTGCTTTATAAATCTGTGTTCAGGGACTTTTGTCCAAGCCCAGTATGGTGATACACTTCTATAATCCCAGCACTCAGGAGGCTGAGGCAGGATGGTAGTCATGAGTTCAAGGCTAGCTCCAACTACAAAGTAAGAGCCTGACTCAAAAACAAAACAAAACAAAAATTTCCCAATGAATTTTTCATTCAATTATTACTTAGCACCAAATTATTTCTGAATAGTGTTAGTTAAAGCCCTAACCCTACTCTACTAGAAGGTCTGGGGGGTGGGAGTTCATCATAGGCTCAGGAATTGGCAGAGGGCCTCTGTTTGTACCATCGGTCTGTATTTTTCTGTGGAATTTTACCACTTCTGTGAAGCCTGCTTCTTAATAACCTCATGGGTTAGCTGCGATTATGGTCTCCTGTACCCCACGACAGGCTCTTGGTGATGGAATTCTGTAGACACCTTCACTGCCTGCAACGCCCTGAAAGCCGAATGCCTTCTGCGGTGAGAGCAGAGCGGCTGCCTGCAGGATTCCGCACTTGGGGTTTCCTTTCCTGATGTAAACACCTCAGTCAGCAGCCTTACGGCAGCAGAAGGGAAAACCCAGGATGCATGTTTCTTTCTATGCTTATTAAACAGGCAGCAGAAACAAGAGAGCTTCATTTACCAAAAAACATCTGCTCATTTGTACAAAAATAAATAAATAAAGTAAATAAACGACAGTATTTCAGAGTCTCTGAACACGTTGGGCCACAGCACAGCATTATTTAGCTAGATTCCCATTTTTAAGATGTTAAACTTCAAACACAGTTCAGGTCAGCTTCTAAGTTTGTAATTTAAAAGAATCAAATCTACTATGGTGCTATTTTTAAAACAATACCCTTCACTCAAAGGAAAGTGCATGACAGTCTAAGATACTGCCAAAAGAAGTGAAAGTGGCATGCTTTATAAACCCAGCACTTAAAACCACAAGCCTTTCTAGTAAATTTCAAATCTGCATGTTGAATGCTTCAGTATACAAAACTTAAATGTATAAATAATCCTTTGGGAAAGTGCAATGATTGTGATAAAAAATTCCGTGAGTTTCTGTACTAATTCTTTGTTTTGTTTTTGAGACAAAGTCTCACTATGTGGTTCAGGCTGGCCTTGAACTCACATTTTTGCCCAGACATTTGAACTCATAGCAATCCTCCTGCCTCAGCTTCCTGAGTATTGGGATTACAAATTTGTGCCATCATGCCCAGCTCTGTACTAATTCCTTCAAGAGATTTTTAACACTGCCTATCATGTGCCATGTGTAGAGATAGCCTCTGCCATGTTGGAGCTCCAGCTGGTGGGACACATGAAAAACTTACAAAGTAAGCACATAAAGAAAATCTTGTAGAGTGTGGTTAAGTGCTATTTTCATAGCGGTACCGAGAAAGAGTAACTGGTGGGGCTGCACAATGGTCAGGGAAAGCTTCTCTCTCTTTCCCCCCTCTTTTTTCTGAAACACAATTTCACTGTGCAGTTCAGGGTGGTCTCAAACTTGCACAGATCCTCCTGCCTCAGCCTCCCAAATGCTGGGATTACAGGAGTGCATCACCACAACTGGCTTGAAAAGCTTCTCTTGATAGAAGACATTTAAATGGATCCTCAAAGGATGAAAACTCAGTGTCTTACAGGGCCTGGGTAGAAACTTGAGAGCAAGATCAAGACAGACAAAGATTCCAAAGCAGAAAAGAGCTAAGGGAACCACTGCACTGGAGTTTAGGGGGAGAGCAAGCTGAGCTATGGGCTGGTCACAAAGTGCTTGCTTCCCCGTGGGGAGGAGCCATGTGTCCTCCATGCAGCTGAAAGCTGCTCAGCTGTCCTAAGAAAAGTGACATGTCTACTTGGATTTTTAAAACCTCATCCTGGCAGCTTTTCAAGAACATGGACCCATCAGGAGGCAGAATGGGGAGCCTGGAGCCCAGGTAAGAGCCTGTGCAGAGGGTCTAGGGGACAGAGGGTGCATAGAGGGCCTGCCGCTGGAGGTGGGGAGAGGAGGATGTACGCAAAATACTTTGGAGAAAAGCATGCACTTGGTGGACTGAATGTGGAGTGAAGCAAAGGAAGCGTCTTTAAAAATCCTTCGTCTTCTTAGGCGTTGGAAGCCTTTAACTGGCATCTACCTCGGGAGTCGACATCAGTTTGTGCCTGTTTCTGTGTGGCATCATGCTAATGTCACATCTGCCGTGAACTCACCGCATCACGGACTGAGAGGCGCTGGAGAAGTGGGGACACGGTGCGGTGTGGGAGGGGAAGGCTGGATGAACCAGCAGGAGAAATTACACAGAGCTGAGCTGCGGGACTTTCCTAAGGTAAAATCACAGTTCTCCAACACTGGGCTTCTTCATGTTTGCTTAAACTATCTCAGAACTGTTATTTCTTCTTTTGTTTTCCAGCTCAGTCATTTTTTAACTACTTCTTCCACCCTTCGTATCTTGGAATCAGTCTCCACCTGGACACGTGAACTATCTATCTGCAGAACAGCGGCTGTTTTTACTATGTTATCTTAAAATCGCACTGTATGTCCCACACAGCAAGGCTGGCTTTCCCTGCCTTCTTCACACCTCCATTCCCATGGCCTCAAATACTGCACGCCCATTACACCAGTGGGTACTTTCAGTAAGTGTAAATACCTGAGAGATTCCAAAACACTGACACACCACTGTGAATTACACAGCACTCGCCGGCACATGTGCTGCGCCAAAAGTGTCAAATGATACAGAAAACCTTGTCATCTGCCTCATCAACCAAAATTAATAAATAGAAAGTTCCAGCATAAACAATTCATGAGTTAAATTGCCATCATCTAACAACATGCTAAACTTCTTCCATTACCCCTTTTACAGTATAAAGTGGTTCTATATTGTTGGTTACTGCTCACGTCTTTCTGTGCCCAGCTTGTAACTCTCCTCTATCACAGGTGTGTGATTGTGTATGTACAGAAAGAACTGTGCAGATACAGACCGCGTGGTGTCATCCTGCCTCAGTGTCCGCTCGGGGTCTGGGACAGCGCGCCTGGGCGGCAGTGGAGGACTTCTGTATTTGAAAGGGCACCTGATGAAAAGCCCTAAAAGGCACACAGGCCAGGCAAAGCAGAGAAATGCCCGGTGAACAAGCGGAGCATGAGCTTCCAGTTGTGAGGCTGCGTTTCCAGAAAGCCTCAGGAGAGCAGCGAGGCTGCACTCACGGAATGTGAGGTACTGGCTTGGAAAGTCACTGTCAGCTGTGGGTCAGAGGAGAGGAAGGAGGAGGGGAACAGAAGACAGCATCCACTGCTCACCAAGCAGTTCTGTAACATGCTAGATGTGGGGAAAGCATTAAGATGGGTTACACACGTGTACCTGCACCCCGTGATGAAATGCAACCATTTCACCCTATGAATGTCTAAGAAAAAATTTTAAATTTCAAAAACTGATAAATGTGGGGCTTGCTGACCACATGATGCTAATTCAAGAGTATCAAAAGGGGTCAGTCTGGCCTACAGTCAACACTACTTTTTCACCGTTTCAAAAACACATATACAACACAAATAAATAAACCCATAAATCAACCATACCAAGTTCATGTGGTTTTGTACTGTTTTGTTTTGGTTTTTGTTTGTAATAGAGTCTCACTCTGCAGTCCAGTCTGTCTTTAAATTCGCCGTGCAGCCCAGGCTGGCCTCAAACTCAGGGCGATCCTCCTGCCTCAGCCTCACCAGTGCTGGGATTACAGGGGTGCGCCCCACACCTGGCTTCAAGTACTTTCTCCTTTTTTCCACTGTGTGTGGGTGGACCCCCTCCCCAACTTGGACACTCACGAGTTGGCGTGGATGAAATTCAGATGCAGACTGGCCCGGTGCAGCGAAGCATACTTATTGGCCATGTTCTCTTCAGAGACCAAAACACACACTCAGGACACCCACGTGGTTCGTCCACGCCCACGCTCACGCAGCTCTCACACGGTGCCCGGAGCTGCTCAGCGGCGCCCCCTGGCGGCCGCACGCCCAGCTCGCCATATGCCTGGAACCCAGGCGCTGTACTGGCCAGATTCCAGCCCTGCAGAATAACCAGTGGGAACCCGGGTTCCTCTGAGGAACTGAGGTTTCTATTGCGGGCAGGTGTTCCTGTGTGTTCCCCCCTCAGCTAGAAAACACAGCGGATACAATGAGATGAGGAGTGATTGCATGCCAAATACACAAGGGGGCGACCCTCAGGAGGTGAATGCAACCACTTACCCACCTGTGTGCCCAGTTTGATCCTAAGAGAAAGAGACAACTCGAGGAGAAGCCAAAGAGAGTGGCACAGAATTTCTGTGTTGTTTAAAGAAAGAACATAGAAAAAAAGAAAACAGGTAAAATAATACAGAATTCAAAAAAATTAACACTAAGAAATTGCTAGTTGATACATTACATATTGTCATTTTAGAACTAGTTGTTCAATTACAAAATCAAAGCATAAGAAGTGGGTAGACACTCAAACACTGACAATGCAAACGATTCTGTTCAGTGATCTAACAGAAATTTAGTAATATGGTCATCTAACTCATACATACATTATATCCTTTAGAGCACTTTCCTTTCCTTTCACTTTTACAATATCTATTACACATTTTGAATCTTTTTACTCTTTCAATTTTTATTATTTTTTACACTAGAGAGACAATGTGATATTTACTAATATGAGTCCTGTTTATTTCACTTAGGAGGATAGTCTCAAGTTGCCTCCATGTACCTATAAAGGCCCCAAGATCATCATTTTACAGCAGAGTAAAATTTCATTTTATAAAAATATCACATCTTTTTCATCCACTCTGTGGTTGATGAGCATTTAGGTTGTTTCCAAGATTTAGCTATTACAAATTGTGCTGCTGTGAACATGGGTGCACATATATCACCATGATACGACCTCTTCAATTCTTCTGGGAAAATACCCAGGAGGGGAATAGCTGGATTGAAAGGAACATCCAATCCTAGTTTTTGAGGAATCTTCTTACTGATTTCCACAGTGGCTGGCCCACACTGCACTCCCACCATTAGTGGAGGAGTATTCTTTTTTTCCTGTAGCCTCGCCAACATTTGTTATCATTTGATTTCTTGATCGCAGCTATTCTTTTTAAGGTGAGATGCAATCTCGGAATTGTTTTAAATTCCATTTCTCGAATGACTAGTGATGGCAAGCATTTCTTCATATATTTATCTCCTATTTGTATATCTTCATCTGAGAAATGTGTGTTTATCTCCAATGCCCATTTTTGGAGAGGGTTTTTGAATTTGGTGGGGGCTGGTGTTTTTCAATTCTTTATATATTCTGGATAAAAGTCCTTTGAGGGATTGTTGGCTAAAATTCTCTCCCATTTTGTGGGTTTTCTTTTCATTTTATTGTTGGTTTCTTTTAAAGTGCAAAAACCTTTTAGTAATATGAGATCCCAGTTGTTGATTCTTTGAAGTATTTCCCATGCAGCTTGCATTTTGTTCATGAATTCTCTGCCTACCCTTTATGTCTCTAAGATTTCTACCTACCTTGCCCTCCAGTAGATTCAGTGTTTCTGTTTTAATATTTAGATCTTTGATCCATTTTGACTTTAGTTTAATGTATGGTGATAGGCATGGATCTAGTTTTAGTCTTTGGCATGTGGAAAGCCAGTTTGTCCAG